AAAGTCAGGGAAAAATAAAATCCTGGTTGCGGTCAAGACAAATATATTTATTTTCTTTATTTTCAGTAGTGTTCAGAGTTTTCTTTCCCCGTGCTCAAGGGATGGTAGTTCAGAAATTACAGGAACTTGCCTCTCCTGTGAGTATTTTGGTTAGAGGCAATATATCTTTATTTGTCTCTGAAATACACCTGTAGTAAATAGTTGTACCAGTAGTGTGAATACAGTCATGTTTGTAAAAGTGTACATGGTTTCCATTGGAATAGCTACTGCATTTTAGAAAGCTAGGTACCATACTGGTATAATGATTTCAGTGCAGTTAAAGTAATGCATTTTTTATATTAGAATCATAGAATTGTCTAGGTTGGAAGGGACCTTTAAGATTGTGTATTCCAACCATCAACCTAACTCTGATGTTAAAAAAAAAAAACACACCAGCCCCCCCCCCAAACAAAAAAAAAACAAAACCAAAAAAACCAAACCCACAAAAAACCACCACCAACAACAAAAAAACCACACCCCAAAAGAAAACCATACGGAAGAACCCCCCACATTACTAAACCATGTCTCTAAGCACTATATCAACCTGTCTTTTGAAAACCTCCAGGGATGGTACCTCAACCACTTCCTTGGGCAGCCCATACCAATGCTTAATAATCCTTTCCTTGTAAAAATTTTTCCTAATATCCAATTTGAACCTCCCCTGGCACAACTTGACGCCATTTCCTCTTGTTCTGTTGCCTGTGACTTAGGAAAAGAGACCGACCGCCCCCGGCTACACCCTCCTTTCAGGGAGTTGTGGAGAGCGTTAAGGTTTCCCCTCAGCCTCCTCTTCTCCGAGCTGAACACCCCCAGCTCCCTCAGCGGCTCCTCATAAGACTTACTCTCCAGACCCCTCACCGGCTTCATTGTCCTTCTCTGGGCCCGCTTCAGCACTTCCATGTCTTTTTTGTGGTAAGGGGCCCAAAACTGGACACAGCACTTGAGGTAGGGCCTCACCAATGCCCAGTACAGGGCACTCACCACGCTGTTCCTGATAAAGGCCAAGATTTAGGTGAGGTGCGTGTTAGCCACAACTGGAATACTGCATCCAGTTCTGGGCTCCCCAGTTGAAGAGAGACATGGAACTACTGGAGAGAGTCCAGTGTAGGGCAACTAAGATGATTGAGGGATTGGAGCACCTCCCTTATGAGGAGCTGGGACTCTTTAGCCTGGAGAAGAGAAGGCTGAGGGGAGACCTTATTTATAAGTATCTAAAGGGTGGGTTGAAGGATGTTGGAGCCGGACTCTTTTCAGTGGTTTCCAGCAATAGGGCAAGGGGCAATGGGCTCAAGCTGGAACATGGGAAGTTCCATTCAAATGTGAGGAAAAACTTCTTTCAGGTGAAGGTGCCAGAGCCCTGGGACAGGCTGCCCAGGGAGGTCATGGAGTCCCCTTCTCTGGAGATCTTCAAGACCCACCTGGATGCCATCCTGAGTGATGTGCTCTGGGCAATCCTGCTTTGGCAGGGGAGTTGGACTAGATGATCTCTAGAAGGTCCCTTCCAACTCCAACAATTCCATGATTCCGTGAAGGGAGGGTGCTGATACAGGTGTCGCTGTGGTCACAATCTAGTGGCGGTAGTAACCGTTTTTCAGTGTTCTGTGTTTTGAGCCCATTACTTGAGATGTGTGCAAGAGGCCTGGGGCTTTTGTTTTTTTCCTTTTCGGAGGGAGCCGAAATGTCGAATTGTGAGGAGGCTCCAATTCAGCATGTGGCAGTGGAGTTAAATCCCGAGTCCGTTTCGAAAATATGTGTCTTTGGCTTACATAGTGCTTAATTACACAGACCTTTTCTTTCCTGATGATGAGGCTGCCAGAGCCTCAGCAGGAAAACAGCTTGGCTATAGGAGCTGGGAGGTGGGCAGATTACCTCTTTGTTATAAACTTCACACATCTGCTATTTCAACAGCTGAAAGATACTAAGCAAGTAAGCAGGGGTGAAGTTTGAGGGCTGACAGTTGAGAAATCTAACCCTTTTTTTATTTATTACAGAATAAGACAGGCCAAAAATACTTTAGAGATGTCCAGATTGCAAGGTCACTTCTGTACATTTTACACAGAGTTGCAGCAGAGCTGACGCGTTGTATAATCTCGATGGAAAAAGTTGGAGGAGGGGAAAAAAAAAAAAGAGATTTTAAAATTTAGCTATTGGGAAGCAGCATAACCAGATAATTGAAGATTTTAAGAACAGATTTTCAACAGGGGAAAACTGTCATAACTCTTTCGACTTCAGTAAGAATTATGATACGTAAGCATAATTAAAAAAAAAACCAAAAAAGAGACAAACCAGAATGTTTGCTCATTATATGTTGTTTGGACATTTTTTTGGTGTGTAAATGACTGCCTAAGTTGAAAAGCCATGAAACATTGTCACCCTCATATTTGTTGTTTAGTTAGCATGGAAAAAAAAACCTGCTAATTAGTTCTTGTTTACTGTTATGATACTACATCACTGGGTTCTGATAAGAAAAGGGAGAAAATTAAATGAACTATCTAAACAAAATAAGTCTCCAGTATGGTACCACCGAAAACAACAAAAAATGGGAATGGTGGGCTTAACGTTACTTGAATAGTGGCAGGGAAACACAGAACTTTCTGGATTGCATTGATTCTTTTATTTTCTCAGCCTGGTTCTCAAGAGAGCTTCAAAAGAAGCATTGAAAAAAGAAAAAAATACATCTATGATAAGCAAATGTAAAGAGATCTACCTGTAAGCAAATACCAAATACCAAAAAGATAAAACTTCCAGCCTTATTTTTCCTGCTTCCCAAATCTGGATGGTATTTGAAGTACCTAGTGCTGATTTCAATCTTGCCAAGGCTTTATGAAAACGGAAAACTTAGTTATAATGGAAATGTAAACCACTCTTTTTCTTTAATAAAGCACTTTGTCTAAGCGGTAATCATTGTGCTTTTCTAAATCATAAGGTGCCTTGGCAGGATTAGAATCTCTAGGGTAACTTAGATACAACTTGAAAAGCTGGAACTTTGCATGGATGGAAATGTTACTTTACGCTTCTTGCCTCACAACATTTACATCAATTTTTTTTAGCCTGTAAGTTCAAAGAATTTGTTGGAGGAATTACGAAGTCATCATTGAAGATATGGGGAACTGCACTGGTGACATGGAGAAGTCCAGGCATCCTTCTCCATTGGAAGGATTTCAGTCTTGAAAGCCAAATCTTCTCTCTGTGTTCAAATGCCAGCAAACCTTCCCCAAGCACACCATTTGTGATTGTTTTGGGCCACAGCAGATAATTCCAGTGACCTAACATCATAATTTCACACTGAATTATGTCAGCGTGATCTACCTGGCATTCTGAAGCCTCTTCTTGCTTCCTGCAGTGACAAAAGCACCTGGGAGGCAGAAGAGGTGGCGGGACCTGGGAGCTCTTCTGTGTGTTTCCAAGGGGAGAATGAATTTTGCACGTCCTGGGGGATGCTGCCTGTATTTTCTGCTCTTTTTACCTGGCTCTAGACCCTTTCAGCAGAAGAGCAGAAATTATGGAGGGCAGGCAGAGCATCCGAATGTTTACATGTTATAAATTCAAGACACAGAGGAGTCGTATGAAACCCCTTCTGCTATGTAATTAATACCCATCCGTGCGTAGGGTGAAGTTGAGCACAAAACTTAAAATGTTGCATCCTTCTTTCTTCTTTTAAGATGAGGACTGTGTGGCAAGTGAGGGAACAGAAATCAAAATGTTGAGACATGATTAACGTAATTATTCTGTTTATCAAGACATTCTGTATTGCGGAAGGGAATTTATACTGCACAAATTTAGAGGCATTACCTTGACAAAAAGGCTGATTTAGCTGTAAGCAGAAACCGTGGTTAGGAGCACATTCTGAATTTCCAATCTATTGATTGTTGAGGTTAATAAAGTAAATAATTGTTGCCAACAGAACGAAGGGGATGCAAATGAAAGTGAGGTTTTGACACTTTTTATGTCTCGTGCAACAGCTCTGCAGTTCATGGACATTTAAGAAAGGAAGAGTTGGAGGAGAAATCATTCAGACCGTTTTCTAGCTCATGTTTTTTAAGAGGCCGTTGTGGTCTGTGCAGCGTTCTTGCAGATGGTGGGCTCATCCCATGGGATGAATGGCGTCTTATTTCCATCAGCTTCCTTGGAGCTATGAGTTTGTCAGTCAGGTACCTGATCAGGGTCATCCTGCACAAAGTTTGCAATTCAGTCATTTGTGGAGAGTCTTGTAATGCTTTGGCATCATTGCTCTGTCAGTTTTCTTTTCAAAACGACTTAATTGGGTGGTTTTAAGAGGTCTGAGCAGAGATTAGCCTCTCTGAGTCTTCTTTTTTTACCTTTAAAAACACATCTAGAAGAAATGTCATCTTAAATAGAAATTTTCTGGAAAGATAAAAGGCTTTATCGAAGCTTTGTGGTGACTTCATTTAATGCAAGATCTTTGTGGGTTGTTTTTCTTGATTGCTTGTACAGAACAATGTTAAGTGAAAAATGAACAAGCGTTCATGTACAAACTGTGTAATACTGGAAGCTGAGGTATTTCCTGAAGTGTGGGTTAAATTGTTCTAGGGCAATTTTTCCTTAAGCCAAAAAATGCAGATCTTCTGTTTCCATGGTGGGTTTCTGCCTAACCTGCCAGGTGGAGAGTGGGCAATTCATTTCAGAGATGGCCAGCAATTACTTTGTGATAGCTGGGGCCACTGAAGGCAGCACACAGCCGAACGGGGAGATACCACTTAATGGAAATTTAAAAGTTTATGAGAATATGCCGATTCTAATTTCAGCCAGTCCAGGATGAAGCACAGAGAAATGTTTGCGTGTAATGTATGAAGAATGAAGTTAACCTGTTGAAAATCAATGCCTCATGCAGCTTAGTTTTTCTTCTGCTTCTTTTTTTTTTATTTGTGGTGGGGGACGTAGCGGTTGAATTACGTCATTAATTATGAATTATGTTTTTCTTTCTTGTTTCTGATTCGCAGTGTGTGCTGTACTTGTGGGCCTTGAAAATCCTTTACCCCAAAACACTGTTTTTACTTCGTGGGAATCATGAATGTAGACATTTAACAGAGTATTTCACATTTAAGCAAGAATGTAAGTCTACCTTATAACCTTTCTCCTCTTAACTCCAGTTGAAAAAAGAACTTGATTTGTTGTTTTGTGAGTCATTGGTATTTGTTTACCATCAGTAATTTTGAATGTATTTTTCATGTTGACTATCAGTAATTTTAAATTGTATTCACTGTTCCCCGAGAGGGTAGTCATCTTGCAGGGGCTGGAGAGGGTGTCTTAGTGGTGGAGGAAGGAAGGGTTTAGACCCCTCTCAGCAGGTAGTGACCAACCACCTGTACAAATCCAGGGTTGTTGCCACAGGTATTGAGCCACTCCAGCTTGCCAACCTGGCCTGGGAAGCAGCCCAGGGCTGCTGAGGGGCCATCTGGTCCCAGATGCTCTCAGTAGACCCATGGTGCCAATGGGGTTTGCAGCCCCACGCAGCAGCCTGGCAGCCAGAACCTGGGGCACGCCAGCTCTGGCACCTCCACGACAGATCACTAGTGGAGGAGGTGGCATCTCACCAGCTCTCATCTGCAGCAGGTGAAAAATGCAAGGAATTTTTAGGGTTTGGGTTGGGTTTGGGTTGTTTTTTTTTTCATTTGTGGTTGTTTTTTCTTTTTTGAGTATAGCATTTTCACATTCAACCTGTAATAGTAGGCTCAAATATTTTTGGTATGCTCTTTTTATGTGAATTTTTTCTGACTTGCAAGAAAGGATACAGTGACACATAAAAGCTCATTAGATGCAGACCTTCACCTGCACAATGAAACTTTTTTCTTTTCTGTGGCTCTGTAAGCTGAAGCTATCGCCGTAAGTCCATGTTCCCTTTTTAGCACTGGGGATAAAGGAAATGTTAATTGGCTCAAAGGCTTCATGGTTTACTGAGTTTAATATGTGTATTGGTAAATTAACATTTCAGCTTCATTGTACCACCTCATTCATTTCATAATGGCATTTCTGTAGATAATTAATTATGAGGGACTAGGCTAAAGTTCTGATTACTTCATAGAGAATATATTGAGCGATAATGTAGTAGGTGATTTTTTTAAGGCTTACTGTATAGATTTCATAGTGGACTCTAATAGTATATTAAAGTTTTTATTTACAGGTTTTTAGAAAAAATTAATAAACTTCGCAGAACTTTTATTAGTTTCACCTCAGAATGTGAAGAATTTTTCCAATTCTAAATAATGTTTTGCATGAGGCAAGCTTTGGTACAGTCCTCAGTGCAAGAGAGGGCAGAGAGAGCAAGGCTGAGATATTAAGTAGCATCCAAATTTCTTTTTTCTTCTTAAATATTGATGGCACTCTCTGATACTGTCTTAATCTTTAAAAGGTAAAATCAAATATTCAGAACGCGTATATGATGCCTGCATGGATGCCTTTGACTGCCTTCCCTTGGCTGCTCTGATGAACCAACAATTCCTGTGTGTACATGGTGGCTTGTCTCCAGAGATCAACACCTTAGATGACATCAGAAAAGTAAGTCTGAATAGCTCTCAGACCTCATAAGTGAACAGTTAATCACCAGCAACTAAAACTTGAGTCCTTTCTCACTGTTGTTCATTTCTGTAAGATGCTTGTATGTCGTTTTGACGTTCATGTTGACATTATCACCTTTTAAAGGTCTTCTTAAATAGAACATAAAAGCAATTGCTGCAGTCACTACTATTTTATCGAGGTGAGGAAATCACCAGCATCCAGTAAAACAAAGGATTTATCACCTTTGTGTTCTAAAAAGTTAAATGTGTTAAGTATGTAAGTATTTAGGAGGGAATGAATACATAGGATTAGTTTCTTTTAAGTATTATCTGCTCACAGAATGTAAGCACACCATCTGATGATTCCTTGCGCCCTGGGGAATGAATACATAGGATTAGTTTCTTTTAAGTATTATCTGCTCACAGAATGTAAGCATGATTCCTTGCACCCTGTTGCGCCCTGTAGGCATTCTCTGCTTTCTTGGAGAAGAGATAAAAATTTCTCTAGAAAAAAATCACAATACTTAAAACCTATAATAAAGAAGCATGGTATGTTTGCAATGGATATAGTCAAAACAACATTATTATTTTAAAAAGAATCAAGACTTTCATTCTCAATAGGCCCTGCCACATTTTTAATAGTACTGCACTTGAGTGCCTAGTAAATTGATGCTTGTGTTGGTACTCTTGTGTTCTTTAGGCATTCTCTGCTTTCTTGGAGAAGAGATAAAAATTTCTCTAGAAAAAAATCACAATACTTAAAACATATAATAAAGAAGCATGGTATGTTTGCAATGGATATAGTCAAAACAACATTATTATTTTAAAAAGAATCAAGACTTTCATTTTCAATAGGTCCTGCCACATTTTTAATAGTATTGCACTTGAGTGCCTAGCAAATTGTCGAAGCAAGGCTTAGTAAATTGATGCTTGTGTGGTACTCTTGTGTTTTGAGAAGTTTCTTATAAATCTCATGATAAATCAGAGACCAACGTGAAACACTTTCTTCATGTAATCCAGTGTTGTTGCAGGTTATTAAGTATTAATTATTTTCAGGTGTTTTGTAAAAAAGATCTCAGTTGATATTTCAAAGAAGAGTTATTTAAACCATTTATTGTGAGTATTTCCAGCAGAAAAGACTTCCTTCTTTCTTGCTTGCATTTTGAAACTTGCAAACATGAATATATACTCCTGAACTTTAAAGTTACTAAAAGATAAATTATATTTTGAGGTTAATTTGTGCCCTACTAAGAAATTAATATGGTTAAAAAAAGGCAAAGGAACCCCCAAAAAAACAAAGCAAAACAAAAAACCCTGAGCCAGCAATTACATGTTTTGGTTTAAGAGCAATTAGATTAAGATATTAATGGTACTTTTAAGAATTACTGAATGTAAAGTTTTGTTTCTGAGGCAAAGGTTCACTGTCTCATTAAGCAAAAATATTTGCTGCCTGAAAATTAGCTGGCTTTGCAACAATGTAATGGCAGAGTGAAATTTTTTAACTCTCAGATTCTACGTTAGTGTCATTAACATCTTAACTTTTCCACCACCAACAACTGGCAGGTTTATTAATCTTTGACAATCAGCAGGAATTGGTTTTGCATACTTATGAATTGTTATTTGATTTAAATGAATTATAGTTACAAAAGCATTAAATGGTAGAAGACTGAAATAAATTAGAAGTATAGGTATGCTATGAATATTTTATGACGAGGATGCAAAGGTAAAGTTGCAGAGGTCTCTTACTGCAATTTTTTAACTGAGTGTTGAAAATATAAAACCCCGATTCTTTGAATTTTTTTTGGGGGGGGAAAAGGGTGAGTTAGGTAGACTACTAAAACATTACTTGATCTTTCTGGTCAGAGTAGAGGATGTTTTGGGCTGCGAGCCTGATTCATACACCCATCTTTAGAAGGGGTGTTTTTATATTAAAGAGTTCTTGCAGAAGAATACCAATTTTTACTATTTCCCTATTTTCCTGTGCTTTGTCTTATTTGCAGTATGGTTCTATATAATTTTATTTTTTTAATACCAATAGTTAGGCAGAAAGAGGAGTTTTTAGCTGCTTATATAAACAAGCATAAGGTTAAGTTTGAGAGCAACAAGAATGTCATGGCAAGATACCATAATGCAGAGGTGTTTTCTTGGTACTTAAATGCAATTTTTTGTGAAAATGCATTTAAATAAAAATGGGAATTGCTTTGAAATAACTTGGTGGGGTTTTTTATTTTTTTATTGAAATGCTTCACTCAAAGAAATCGAGTGCTTTGATGTTTGAAAAAATGATGAAATACAGGAATAGCATCTTCTCGTCCAATGAAATGCTTGCATAAAACAGCAGAAAAAAGGAAAAAAATGCACACAAAAATTCATGTAGAATAGGAATCCACTATATCTCTTATTTTTCAGTTATATCTGTTCCTTCTTCTCTTTGTCAGTGCTAGCAAGGAGTGCAAGGAGTGTTATACTGTTGTTCAAAATCCATTGCTTTAAAGCTGAGAGCAACTCAAAGCTGAAAAATAGATTGCTTTGGGTCTTTGTTTTCCAACCCACGGAATGAAAAATTGTAACTTCACTAGTTAATATTTACTTAGTTTACAATCAGCATTTCTGTGATACATAGTTGAAAGAAGTTAGTATTTCTTTGTCTCCTATTTTTCTTAGTTAGATCGATTCAAGGAACCACCTGCATATGGACCTATGTGTGACATCCTGTGGTCAGACCCGTTGGAGGACTTTGGAAACGAGAAGACTCAGGAACACTTCACTCACAACACAGTCAGGGGGTGCTCGTACTTCTACAGGTGAATGTTCCTACTTTGAATGTGTTTCTGTACATGAACTTGTTTGGGTTTTGAAGTATAAATGTTTGCTTGAAGTTTGTGGCACTACTTAAATAATTGAGCCTTTTTTTCTCCAGGTTTGCCTTGTTTTCAGGTAAATTTGAGTTTGGTTTATTTGAGTCTCGGTTTCACCCACAACTAGGAAACCCCAAAATGTCTTGATTTTATTCTCCAAAGCCTGTGTATTTTGCTTATTTCTGTTCTTCTAAGTTAGAGACTGAATGTGTTGCTTTTAAAAAGGGGTAGGAACTACATTTCTGGTTGAAAATTAGAACTTAATTTTGAATTAAAGGTGCCATCATTGGAAAACTCACTACCTGTTGCTCGGCAGGGTAAGTAAAATTTGAGATTTTCCACACACAGGTACCTTCTTTTTTTATTTCCCCTCACAGTTTTATCAAACTTTTTATTTAAGTTTGGGAATAGTTCTTCCCAAGAAATTCAGGATTTGAACAGCATTGGTTAAATGGGACTTGGTAAGAGCTGAAATTAGTGCTTTTGACATTCTTGCAGATGCATGTATGGACTTAAATGCAAAGACATCGAGTTCTTATTCACCTTTGACATTATTTCTTTCTATTGATGTTTGTTAGTAAACTATAAATGTGAGAACATTCCTGAAAAAAGTAATAGTAATCAGGATAGAAGGACATCTAAAGCAAAGCTGTGGGTTAGTTTGTGACTATTCAAGGGAAACTTTCTTCTCTGTTTCTTTTCTGCTTAGTGATAATTGTCCTTTAAGCCTGGGGTGGGTGGGT